ACCATGTACTCCGTTGTAGGTACTAGTCAGTGCTTGGCTCCATTTGTCATCACCTCCGCCCAGTGTGTTGTGTTTTCACCACCTTGTTGTTTTGGTTGTAAGAAAGATTATGCAAAAACTAAGAATATGATAATACCTAACCGTGTACAGTATAGCTCACACAGAGATGGGAGTTGAAACAAGCGTCTCATAAGAAGAAGACAGTATTTGTAGAACCGGTTAAAACAATCCAGTCAATCAGTCTGAGCAAGCAGTGATTCCCTTTCCTCGTAAGATGGCATCGTGGGAAACGCTACAGTCTGCCGGGCTAAACCCCCCTGAGTCGCTGGCACCGCTCTCCAACCTGTTTGTCTCCTCCAATTTCACGGAACCTCGAGGGTGTGCCACACATTCAGAGGATTGTCTGGCTCGAGAAGCTGATCGGACTAATCTGCTTCCTTTCACAAACAACGGGCCGGGTCGGGTCGGATCACCCAAAAAAGACTCCGTGCAAAAGCAGAACAGGTACAGATCAATCACACGCGCTTTGGCAGCTCTGACAAACTGACATGACCGTCGGTGAGTCAGGGAAAGAAATCATGTCGAGTTCCAAAGCACATACGACGCCAACCGTGAATATTTATTACGATCACTGCTCATTGTTCAGATGCAGGAACCTTTCTTTTTTTTTTTGCTTTAAAAAATAAAATAAACATAACCATTGCCTTCGTTTGCATTTTTTAATATGTTGCACAGGGTGTGTGATGATGGTTCTCGTGCAGAGCTGAAAGTGAGCGAGTGATACAGATAAAAATCCTCTTTTGTGATGTGTCTGATATTTTTACAGGAAATATCTCTGTCTTACAATTCAAGAAATCTCACCCTGTATGTGACTTACATCTCAAAAACCAAAGGAAGTGCAGCGTTGAATTTGGACGGACGTGATAAACTTTGAGTTGAAACGGGGGAACAGTGTAAGCGAACATTGTCAATCACGGTTCGGAGTTCTGCGTAGTGAGTCGAGCTTCACCGATTTTGAACGGCAGCGGTGCCGCGGCTTCAGGGTCCAGCAGCAGGTGTTTACTTGCAGCGACTCAATTACTGCAGGTCACTTTTAACAGTCACAGAAATAAACCTGCAGCCAGAATCTGCACGGGTCGAGCAAACAGCTAATTCAGAAACAGGCGGGCTTAGAGTGGAAGTAACTAGGCAGAATCTGTTTTTAGCTAATCCTTTAAATCAAACACCAGACATATCAGAGTACGTCATGCACCCGTGTTCTTTTACTGTGTTTTGCCAAGACTCAGTTCCGATTTTCCCCGTCTCAGTCCTTGAACTCCAAAATGTTCAAAGCCATGTCGCCTACAACACGAAATGCGAACGAGACCAGAACACGCAGGATTTGTCTCGAAGCGTGTTTTTCCATTCAGCTGCATGCAGAGCTCCGTCTGATTCAGCAGAACACACGTTCGTGCTCAGGCCTCAGGAACATTTCACAGCACCGTTGCAGACAAACACGGCAGATATTTTGCCGTGTCACTAATTTTCTCCTCCGCTGTTTGTATTTTCCTGTACTCGCTTTAATCCTCCTGTTTACTCACCGTAGCTCAGCGAAACATTACCCGAGACTACAGGCAACACACCCACCCTGTGAACGGGTGGAAAATATTTGTATTTGTTCTTTTTCGGACGAGGCGCAAAGTCAACAGACTCTTTGTGCCGTGGTTGTCTCTCCTCCCGGCTGCTCCTCTTTGAGCTTGATGATAGACAGAGGTTCGGCGATATGTGCTTTGACCTGCCCCGGTCCTGCGCTATCTGGTGTTTGACATCGGCACAGAGCTGATGCTGTGAAATCGAATGCACTGGGTGAGCATCCAGCAGGAGGCCAAAACATTAGCTATTAGAAGCGAGTGACGGGAGCCTGTTCCAACCTGCATCTCTGCTGCTCGCTCGACATCTCTCCCTCTCTTGCCGTCTTTCGTTTTACTTTATCTTTCTGGCTTTTAAAGTGTTTCCCCTCCCGCGGTGTCATCAGTGGCTGCGGTTACGTGCGAGAACTGTTGACTATCCTACAGCTGAAATTTTATTCCACTTGGGATTGTTTACGTGACCATGCTGATTCCCTGAGATTTACTTTTTTCTGTCACAGTATTTCTGCAGAAACGAGAATATGAAACACAGCAAATATTCACATTGTAGGATTCTGATTTTATAGATTCAGATTGTTTTTGTCTGCTCATCAATAAATCTTTACAGTACAAGTGGCATTGACCCGTTCATATACATTCATGCAGCTCTTCTTCTATTACACACACAGCTGGCACAGTCATCGGGGGCAGTGTCTTGCTCAAGGACACGTCATGCTGAAAAGAGGAGCCGGGGATCAAACCACCGACCTTCTGGTTGCAGGAAGAGAACATACTGTATTTGTTGAACATATGAACACAGGTTTAGTGCTCAAGTGAATATTTCCTGCAGAAAAACAGTGGGAAAGTTATAGCATGACAACCATGTCGTCCAGTTATATGTTTTTATTGAAAAGTATGAACAAAGATGGTTGCACGTCTGTAAAAGCAGCATCAACAAAACCAACAGAATTGCATGTAAACACAGCCATCTTGTGTGCACCCTGCCAAAGATCCTGGTGGCTGCCGCTGTGCATAACCCATCCTGTTAAACGCTGCACATATACAAACATGCCTTGGGCAGCAGGCTGCTCAAAACAATATCATCAACATAAAAGGGGCAAATTATTTCCATTGACAGAACCAGATGCTGTTGATTTCATGGCTCCCTGAAATGTATTTTGCTTAGAATCAGCGTGATAATCAGACAATTAGGAGACTGATTGAAGAGAGCCCCAGGAGGCAAAAGTGAAACCACTGGAAAAGATATTCTCATTCTGACACACGCAGCCTGACTCACTCAGGTACCTACAATTTTCTCACCAGTGCTTTGACTTTGCAGGGAAATTGGTTCCAAAGGTAGAATCAAGATATTATTGAATCATAAAAAAAATGATTTTGAACCGAGAAGAAAAGCCTTAAAGAAGTGCACTCTCTCATCTTTGCTTTCGTTCCCCCAGCTACAGCAGGATGTGGGTGTAGCTGCACCTATGCAGATGAGGATCTTTCTCCAGATTACACATGTTCGGTGTCTGCCTGAGTATTTATCCTCCGCTGCTTTAATCCAAGTGGATGTTGAACAGACTCTCACAGCCTGAGCCAGCAGCAGGTATTGTCCATTACAACAGCTGCACTTAGTCAACAACAAATATAGTTGAGCTGGATAATTTGCATGTAGAGATATATAAAACATGGGGATTAGTCAGAGGGTTCTAAGAACATCTTAATCCATATATATGTAAAAATATTTATATTCATAAAAAATAAAAAAAAGTCAGTTATTATCCCTCAAAGTGTGCGACAGTGGTAAGTTGCATTAGCGTCTCGTTTTAAGGTTTCGCTCTAATGCTGTCACATGCATTGTACGCAGCAGCGTTTGAAGTCTGTCAGCTCTTATATCCCATTAAGTATCAAATACATGTGTTTGTCCTTTTCGTTAATCCCCACGAAGCTGCCACTCCGCAGCACTTCGAACGTCGGGCCCCCCCGCCTGCTGCGAGTCACTATTTCACCATGTGTTTACTTCCTCTTGTTATTATGATTATTGAGGGAAAAGGAACCTAAATGTAATTTTTTTAAAATTATTTACTGTGTTGACCTCTGTCATAATTCACCGCAGACGTTTGAAGCACATCCACTGAAACAGAGACGATTTCCTCGTAAAAAGAAGCTTTTCAACATAATCCACCACACTGGATGACGAGAGCGAGGGTTTAACTTGCTGTTGCCTTCACGTCTTCACCGGAAGACCGTGTCATGTTTTTACCCCTGATCCAAGTCTGCGAGATCGAACCTCTTTTTATTGTTATGGCCGTGGAGATGATGTGCAGATCAGAATCCAGGCCACAGGTTCCCCAGCTCATCAGGAGCAATGAGGTGCAGCTGGGATCTCCATCAGCAGCTGAGGCTGGAGGGTTTATAAGGACGTCTGGTTTCCTTGTGCACTTGGTTGTTTGCTGTCAGAGAGTCAACACCTTCAGTTGGTTCTCTGAGTTTGTGTTGTTGGTTTTGCTTATTCTGTTAATGTGTTGTTTGCTCATTGTTATTTACCCCACTCCTCTTTTGTTTCTCTGTGACTCCCACTATCTTTTGGTTTGATTTTCCAGGTTTTGTTTTTTGAAATCTAACATTTCCTTTACACATTTTATTGAGGAGGTTGCTTCGTGGTTTGAGCCTGATTTACAAATGTATCAGCAGTTCAGGGAAGGAACTAACTATTTGGATTTTGAATTAATTGATCATTTTCCTAAATAAATCCAACTTCTTGGTCGGACCAGTCAGTCGGTGTCGCGGTCAGAAGCAGTCATGTCTCTGTAGCTTTCAAGATAAATCCTCAAAATCTAATATTTGATGTTGTTGAGGTTGTTTTTATTAACCTCTTAATAGACTCTGCTTCAAACAGACAGGACAGGCAGTGGAATTCTCTGCAGCTACTTCAGGGGAGCGAAATGTTCCCAGTAGTACTCACATTAAAAAGAAAGAAACGAGCGACGTGAGGAATCTCGGTCCACTGAGGGGTCTGATGTTTTCATCTGTGACTTTCAGGGGGAGCCCTTGTAATAACAATGGGCGGACGTGTTTGTCACACAGTCAACGCGGCCGAAAGTTCTCTGAGATGAGAATATTTTGTCACCCGGCAGGTGTACAGTTGTTTTAAAGAACAATCACCAGAGCCTGTATTCTATGCACCTTCACTACCAAAGCAATCTCCAGCTCGACGTGGTCTGCTCTTAAGGAAGTCCTCAAATCGTCCTGCACAGAAGCTTTAATGAGACTTTCTTTCGTTGTCAAATCTCATTGAAAGGCGTCTCGGAGCAGCAATGTCAAACGATGCAATTTTGTCTCATCAAAAAAGGAAAATGAGCGAGCAGCGATTTCATGCTTCAGCAGCACTTAAATAACAATGTGCTTAACTCTCCATAATGTCTCCTCGGAGTTTCAGGGGTGCAGTGCACATTTAATGCAAAGGTGGCGCCCGGACGAGCAGAGGTTCACTCGCCAACACAGAAACCCGACGAAGCTCGCAGTTATTATTTACTACCTCAGTGCCACCTTCAATATATAATTTTGATTTAGAAAAACTGTTTCCCTCTGTCTTTTCCGTCCCAGTGCGTTCTAAAAATCACCCTCCGCTCCACGTCTGAGTGGCTTGATGTCTGCGCTTATCATAGTAAATGTATTTCTTCCTGCCACACTTATTATTCACCGTGCCGCGGCGCACGCTAAGCCTCGCGCTCTGCCCCGGTTGTGTTAAAACATCCCAGATGTTTTAATGAAGCCAGCTCATCCTTTTGAGTTTCAGGGCCGACGCTGCTCTGCTGTGATACGTGACTCTGACCTCACGTGGCAGCGTCGGTCACCAAACAGTGCTGTGACCTCACAGGCATGGACGACCCTTTAACAGCAACAGCTCCTCAAGTCCACACTAGTTTGTGTCATCTGCATAATGGGGGGGGGGGAATGGTGGGAAGACTGAAGCAGAATTTTTGAAGTTTGAAGTGCACATCCTCATCTGAAAGGATTTATGAGTCGCAATTTAATTGGAGGGAATTAGCGGACATTTAGCTTCTTCTTCTATCCGTCAAATTAATCTCTGTGTGTTTCTCTTTCCTCTTGTCTCTCTCTCTTTCTCTCCCAGGAAATCCAGAATGGCTCCAGGGATTAACCTTTGCTCTTGGTAGAACTACCCAGAAGTTCACGTCCCTTTTTTGCGGCGCATCTCACAGCCCGGGAAATTCCATAATGTAAACGCATCCTGCTCTTTTTGTTTTTCTTCGATAAACCTTCGGCTTTGGGCCATGAACCTTAGAGGAGCTACCAGAACCACGGTTTCCTTCGTTTGGATTTAGATCCCTGTTTTGCCTGGACTACATCACGGACCTGCAGCGGTGGCTAGTGGTGGTGGCGGTGGTGGCGGGAGGACCCCTCCACCTTGGAATACAGGGATAACTTTACAAAAGCGCGTTCCGCCATGAGGATATCCGCCACCTCTTGCATCTGTCCCTTTCTGGTGTGCCTCTGCTTCATCCAGAGGTGCTACGGTGCGAGCCACCATGTCCCGTCTAAAGTGCCCTCCAAGAACCAGACCAAATTGGCCAACGGGGAGACGGAGGTGCACCACAGACCTAAGCGTGGCTGGATCTGGAACCAGTTCTTTGTTTTAGAAGAACACATGGGACCAAAAGCACAGTATGTGGGAAAGGTAGGATTTTACTGAACTGACTGCGACTGCAAAAAAAAGAATCTTTTGATCCCAGGGAACAGCTTACTTGGCATTTTTGTGTCTCCTCTTGTTTGTTGAGAAGTGGGTTACAGCAGGAACAAGCTGTTCCATTGAGGTAGATTGCCACATTGGCACTGTACAGCTTTTCCCTCTTCTGATGTGGAGATCCAGTTCTCATTCGTCAAGGTGTTTATGTTTCTTTTCTGTCGTTAACAAAGTCCGACCGGATTCACCTCATGATAAATGTCCCAAAAAAAAAAGTTGAATTCTCTGTAATTAAGGAGCCTCTCAGCACGTCGGCCACTCTGGGAAGCCGACGACACGAGACTGGATTGAGTTTGAAAGTGAGAGTGGCCCTTACATCACGCTATCTTTGAACTGAAATATTAGATTTGGTTTCTCCGAGGGAAATGATCCCAGATTTGATCTCTTTGTGGAAAATGAACCAGCGCTGTAAGAAATTGAACAGTGGTCCAATGGGGACATAGCGTCTCATAGTTAGAAGATTTTCCGAATGTAATTCCAGTGTCATTCCAGAGTGACTGATGGCCCTCACAGAGGGAAAGATAGCAGTGGGTGTTCTCCGTGCTTCTGCAGAGGTGACGGTGTAGCGTGGTTGTTGGCGATTGGCGGTGGTGACTTTTCTGTTAGCTCCACAATAAGCCACAGGGAGCTGGTTAAGTCCTCTGCTTGCAGATTGCCTGCCCTTATCTCCTGAAATGTGAAAATGTATTTCTCTGCTGCAGTGATCATTATTCTAGGCACTCAGGCACAGACTAATCCCCTCAACTGCACTCAGAGAGAAAGAGAATGAGAAAGGCAGGACGCTCCTCTGACTGCATGTATGTCTGTATTTCAACAGCATTTGAAGGGAAAATGAAAGGGAGCGATGATGTTTGGGGGGAAAAAAAATGTGAGAGGGAGGAAAGAAAAACACACAACGAGAGCAAATACCACTTTATGTCTTTGTTTTAAGAAAAACCTTGCAAACGTCCTCGTGAGCCTGACAAAGCAGCAAAGAAAGGCTATTTACCGGTGAGGCATGTTTTTGCTAATAATATTTGACGCATGAATGAGCCGTAAAATCCCACAGCGCCAACAAAAACAATCCCTCGGCGTGCACGAGACTGCGTCCCGAGTATCAGACAATACAAAGATTTGTTTTGTTTTTTTCAGTTTACCGATGCACTAACAGTAACAGACGCGGTTATTCCAACATTAAATTCATCCACTGCTTTGAAGTTCACATTGTTTGGTTTGCCGGCTGCTTGGCTGATCTGCTCCTCTCCTACCTTACGGGTGTTGTTGTTCTGTGTGTGTGTGTGTGTGTGTGTGTGGGGCTGCTGCTGCTGATGAATGCAGAGTAAACATAAATAGCTAATCCTGGATGATAATAAAGCACTGAGAAGAAACATAAACATTATTAAGGAATCAATTTGACATGCATGTTTAAAGAGATGAGGTCTCCAGATGGTTCGCACAAAAAAAACATTTAATTATGTGGGTTGGGACTGGTGTGCTGTGTCCTAATGTGGCCAGGAGACAGAATGACCCTTAATTAGACGAAGACAGGAGAGGAGGAGGAGGAGGAGGAGGAGGAGGAGGATTAATGCACTCAGCACATACTGGGCTGTGTTGTTTTGTTTTTTTAAGCGTCCTCCCTTTGCTTGATTAAAAACTCTGGACATTAGCGAGCTGCAAATGAACATTTCCACCACAGTGATAATTGCTTTCATCTGAAAAATATGACATTTTAAAAAGGACATTTCATGATAAGATATGTCGTTTTAATTGGACATTGCAAGGTCAAACACAACACATTAATATATGGACCTACGTGTACTCTCTACTGATACTCTCGCATAAAAGAACTTCTGGGAGTAAGTGAAGCGGCCAGTCAAGAACATTTTTAATCCCCCGAGGTGTCCCGTAATCCCCAGTGACACCTTTCTGGGGGGGGGCTGATGCATTTGGGAAATGACAGCTTTGTGCATGAGTGAGACGCAAATGCTCAGTAGGGGACAGGGCTCGTCCAGATATACCAGACAGGAGACAACCCACTCTCCCTATGGGAGGTGTGGATATCTTCATGTCACTCAGCTCAGCGTGGAGCTTTGAGGGGATTCCGGCAGGTTACGGACAGGATTGTAATTTTCAGAGGACGCATGCAAATCCGCCAAACTCTGCATGAGTGGGAGCTGCGGTGAACCGTCTGCAGCCGTTTGTTAAACAGAACCAGAGCCTTGGTCAGAAATCCACGATTTCTGGTTTCTGCTAAAATATAGTGAGTTTTGACAGAACGGCTGCTCTGCACCAGCAGGAACATCCTCTCGTCTTATCCTGTGTTAATTTGCAGAGCAAAGTTGAAACCTCCAGGAAAAGATACCTGAATGTTTTATTCTCGCATCTAAAAATGGATTGCGCTGTGACAGAATCAGGCAACTGTCTCGTTGTATTTACAGTAATAACTCAACAGTGGGAACGAAGATGAAACAAAAAACAGAACTGAAGGTTTTTTTTAAACATAAAATTGCTCCTCAGCCACGCAGGAAACAAGCGCATGCATTCTGGATTATTCTCATTTTTAAACCACTCTGGTGTCACATGAAATAAGAAGTTTTTGGAAAGAGCAGCATCCTGAAAACAGTGGAAATACCAACCAGTGTGATGTGCACATATGTGAGTGGAAGAGTGTCATTGTTTACATGTGGGGCTACAAGCACAGCTCTCGTTTAATTACTCTTTTGATTAATGTGGTAATTAAGAAAAATACTTAGCAAAGCCTGTGGCAGTTTCCCAGAGCTCAAAGCCCTTGTCTTCAAATTGCACGTGACTGCAAATTGTCGGTGAAATCCTCAGCACTCCTGTAATCACACATGGGCTGAAACATAAAATGTGTAGATACAGCACAGAAGAATAAAAGATTGTATTATTCGTAATAATCCAGCAAAAAAAAAAAAATCCACAAATGATTTGGCCCTATGTTGCAGACACAAGAAAGTCCGTTCTGATCCATCCAATAGCAAACGGCTAAACCTTAGAAAGAGTCAAGGTCAATATCGACATTCTGGCAACCTCCAGTGACCACAAGCAACAGATCACGACGAAGAGACACCAGATCTGAGGCGTGCGTTTTGTGCAACGTGCTGAGGAAATGTGAACAGCCGGCATGTGGTATTTTTAGAGCGATGCAGTTTCAAGGCCGACAGAGAAGCAGAGACACTTAACACAGTGAATAAATGATACACCTCCACGCTTTATGCTAATTTACCCTGTCAGTCCAAAAAACTGAAGATATTCTTTCCAGAGTTATGTCGGAAAACAGAAAAAATTAAAGTGAATCCTCACAGATTTATTATTTAGTTGTGTTTGAGCCGCTAATCAAGACCAAACTGTAAAATCTGTTATTAAACCAAAACATCAGCTGAAAGACGGTAAAGACCTTTCTACAGGAAGCTGCAGAATTTCGGCATAATTCATATACTTACATACCGATTTAAAACCGTGAATCATTCACTGAGTAATTCTTCCAGCACCAGACATGTACGCTCAGAGGGTGGAAATGTATCTGTGCTGCTGCGTCCTTGATGCAGTCACTTTTCTCCCAAACAAAGGTGGAAAAACCTGAAAGCCGAGCCAGGTGAATTACAGTTTAATGTCCTTCGTTTCCACAACTGCAGGATATAAAAACAGAAAACCCACACACGTCAGCTGTGTGTTCAGGGACGTGCGTCATTTTCCAAAAGTGCATTCCCCTGTCCTCTGGCTGAAACGTTCAAACAAATTAGCACCGTTTAGACACTTGAGATTAAACCTTTCTCCTTCACTCGCTGGCAGAAACGTCATGTTTTCCAAAATGCCGATCTGCTGACGCTTCCACTACCCGTCTCATTCTAATGTTAATTTTTTTTTTGCAGCAGTTAGAGGCAGAGCCATTTAAACGAGTGTCAAGAGTCGCTTCCGGGAACTCTAATAATCTCATTACTGAACATCAAGAAGTCAACCATCCTGCTGGGAAGACAACAATTCATTCCTCGTCTCCCCCCCCCCACCCCCTCCCCCTTCTTCTCCTCCGCAGATGTCAAAATAGAGGACAACTATTAGGGCGGATCTCTGTGATGTGCATCAGTGGCACGTCTCCAGCTCTCCCCCTCATCACTGTCTGTTGATGTATGGTCATTAGGCTGGCGTTCCATCATCAGGGTTTACTGTGACTGTTACAAATCAATCGAGGAGAAGGGGGTGCTCAGAGGAGTTGATTGGTGATATGTGGTGATAATCAGACAATCAAGCATGCCCACATAAAAAGTGATTAAGTCCTCTCGAGTGAAGTATAAGAGCTGAGATTTAATCAAAAACGAACCCGCCCCCCTTCACTAATTGCAAATATGAAGCCAAGGCACTGATCATCAGCTCGGGCACGTCTCCTGCTCATTTCTGTTTCTCCTCGCCGTGCACACTGTTGATGGAGTAAACGCTCCACTCCCTGACTCCCACCTCCAGCTCCCATTTCTGCATCAGCGAGGCTGCGTCCAACATCACAGTGATGCAGTTCTGATGAATCTTTCGTTGCAGGAGTTGTGAAAGCAAAACCAAGAACACGCAGATAAACACAGAGGCCATTTGTAGCATGTGCACACACACACAAACACACACGCAAACCACACAATCGTATCGTAAACACACACAACTCGTAACGAGTGGACATCACCGCAGCAAAGCGGCGTCCTCTCAGAGCAAACGAGGTCTGGCGAGGCACATACATTATGTGGATCTGAACGAGGAATACGACCGAGCTATTACAAAGGGAGTTCACCAGTAATGCAGTCCAACCGGGCACATACATTATCCGGATCTGCACAATGAAAAGGAAAAACAAGTCGAGGTGCAAAATAGATGAAGGTCAAACTGTGCAGCAGCTAATAATCTATCAGGATGGCTCTCAGCAGAGCCAGGGCTGTGTGGTCACGTAGTCATTT